AAGAGGAATTGCGAATTCAGCAATACCTATTACTGTGCATTGGATTACTTTTAATTTTAGCGCCAGTTACGTATTTTAAAGTGTGTAATTTAATTTAAAAGATTATTTTATTAGTAATTCATTGCACTACATAATATTATGTTAACTAAATCGCTGTTGCTAGGTACACGCTAAAGTGTACACAAATCAAAAAGTTATATACACGCGAACCGTCATATTGCTGTAGCGGGAGGTGTTTGTGAGAATGCGTCTTGTTTGTTTTCATTTACTCCGTGACTAGCACAGTAGTATTTTATAAACCTTAGAGGCAAATTTCACATACATGAACAAATAATATTAATGCCGTGACAACAAGAAAACGAAGCAACAACTTCTCGTAAAAATTTCAATTCATACCTAGCTACGACCGGCGTAAACACCAACGGCCTGCACACAATTCACCTATTCTGTCAAGACGTTTCGCGTGTATATAAATTTTTTAATTGCGTACAAGTTAGCGTGTACCTCGCGTGTACCTAGACACTGTGTAACTAAAAAAATATTGCATTGCTACTAACTTTATTTTGTTGCAAGTGCAATATGGAATATTTAGTTTAATGTTATGTGGAGCATTATTGTTATTACTAATAAAATAATCTTTTAAATTAAATGCCACACTTTAAATTTAAGTTAATTTAAGTTTATAGAAAAAATACTTTACTAACAAAATTAACAAGATTAATAATAACTAACAATTACTGGTAATTTTCATTGAAAAATGATAATGAACTTGTTAATAAAGTAGAACGTAGATCAAGAAAAGAAACAAACACAAAAATAAAATTAGAAGTGTTGAAGAATTGAAAAACACCATATTCTCTTTACAGCAAGAAAACCAAAAAGTACAATAATTGAGATAGAAAAAAGAAAAAAGTATATTGTCAACAGTGCCACAGGGGTCTCACTTAGGCCCCTTATTATTTAATTTATTTATTAATGATTTTTAAAATTTTAAATAACTGACAATTCTTTCAAAGTAATTGTCAGTATAATTTTTAGTTATTGAGATTAAATATTCTTTAAAATAAGTTATTTTTTGTAGAATCGATAAATAATAGCATTTTTATTTTTATTTGGTCCATACTATAAAAAAATAATCAAATCTTTTGAAACTAATTTAATTACGAGTATTATGACTAAAAATCTAAAAGTGACGGTGGATATGAGGACAGAGCGTTTGCCTTCCACACGAAAAGCCCGGGTTCGAATCTGGGCTGGGGACTAATTAATAAATCTTTTCTTTTACCGTAAAATGAGGTTACTTTGCTCCAGTTTTAGTATGACGTTTAGAAACTGTTCCAAATAAATTGGAAGGAAAACACAAAAGATTTTGCTATTTAGGCTACATATACAAAATAGCTTAAATTTATATATTTTATCAGTATTGGAACTAACTAAATACATCAGAGGAGCAAAGTAATAATAGGTTTTATTGAACTTTTCTCCAGAGGAAATATTACCGTTAAAACAAGCAAAATTTTTGCTGAATAAACATATATATAATTACAAAAATAAACAAAATTCAGTACAAAATCTAAAAAAATTTAAAAAAACTCTGAAAAACAAATAAAATAGGGGTTTATATAATTAAAAGTAATTTTATTATTGCCACCAGGTTTTTAATCCGGGAACATCATCAAAACCTCTTTTGGATATTTGTCTTGATGGATTTACAGAACCTAAAACATCATCCCAAGAATAACCCATTTAATTCTTTTTTTGCGGCCATTTCCACGCCTTCAAAGATTTCTTCATCGCATTTATTATGACTTCTTTGTTTTCAAAGGCAATAATTTGTCCTGGAAATTGTTTATTATCATATTCAAAAACGATAAACGTTCCCACTTCGCGCACGACATCTCCAAATTGAAAATGTGGCTTTAAAGTTTCCTTGCTATTTACGTATTCAACAAACTGGCGTTCTATGTTCCTTTCTTCATCCAGTTCAACGAAATCAATGTCGCTTGAAGAATCGTCATTGTACTGTAACGAGTAATCGTTTTTATTGGTGATAGACGTACTAGGCTCATTGAAATTACTAGCAGTCTCTTCGTGAAAAGCAGTTTCTTCGTGAGATGCAGTTTCTTCCTGATGTGATTCATTTTCATTGCATAGTCTTTTTCCAGCCGAAATGTTAATTTTTTTTCTGCGTACTATTCTGGTAGGCTTTGTAGATTCCAATCTTCTATCAAAAAGTTTTTGTAGGAAAGCAGAGTGAACGTCATTTGAATTAGAATCCAGATCGCTTTTTGGTATGCGATCTAAAAGTTCGTTTACATTTACTGGCACAGTGCCACACTTACGAAAACTTGATTTTAAATTGTCTGCTACACTTGTTTCAATAATTTTCTTTAATAGCGGTGGAAAGTTTTGTTTCTGGATATTGGTATTGTGCATTTCTCCCTCCGTATCCTTCAATTCTGACAAAACCTGCCTCCATGCTATTTTTAAAGGTCTAAAGAACGCCACATCGACGGGTTGCGTTAAATGAGTACTGTTGGGTGGTAAGCAAATTAAATTTATTTGGTTCTCACGGTAAATCACAAGGCGTAAATGATAATATGGGATGAAAGATTATCACATAGCAATTTTTTTTTCCTGGCAGTTTTCTAAATCTTGGCACAATTTGATTTTCAAGCCAATCAGTGAATATGGCCGCATCAAACCACCCACTTTTGGTAGCATTATATCGACATCCTTTTGGGCCGTTCTCCGTCCATGTTTTCCACATATGACTTGCTTTGTAAACCACATACGGGGGAAGGAGTTCTCCAGAAGCACTTCCACAAAACATTACAGAAATCGAAGTTTTGGAAGCATTATGAATGGTATCAGGGTACTTACTCAGTAAACCACAAATGGTCGGCATTCACTCGGCCTGATACCGGTATGTACGGGAAGAAGAGTACTCGGATTGCCGTTATCGGCGTTTCTTCTGAGCTGGGAGGACCGTACCATTTGACGTAATTTAGAAGTAGAAACCGCATATGGTCCATATTTGGCGTTCCAGACATGGGAAGCATCCTTACGGGCCGAACGCGGTTAATATTTGGCTAGCCGGGCATGGGAGGCATCCTTACTGGCCGAATTATATATAGATATATGAACACGACTACAATTTAGTGGGCTGCTAACATTCGGCTGGGCGGACATGTTCTACCTATATGCCGAAGCCTTACCCGTATATCGGGCCGAGTCCGGCATCTGGCAAGCCTCCTTCGGCCCAGTTACGGTGCCGATAAACTGTGTTTATTGGATACACCCTTTTTTGAATAACTTTTTTTTACAAGGATCATGCGTCAAATTAGTCTCATCGAAATTCCAAATATTTCCACAGGAACATCTTCTAATTCTTGGCCCAAGTTATTAATAAAACATCTGAGTATATTCTCGTCCACAGCAGCTTTTGATCGTTTAACGTTTTCAGCAAATCTTTGTGAAAGTCTAGGATACCTTTGTAGGAAACATTTAACCCATTCAAGACCAGGATAATTATCTTTAAAAATTTTTGTCTTCCACATTGATACAAATAATTTTTTATAATATGTCACAATTCTGTTAAATTTACTGGAAATCCAAACTCTGCCATTGATATTATGCAGTTTGTGAATTCATTTTCTTCATAACTACTAAATACAGGTTGTTTGCCTGGTCTGTTTTGTCCTCCTGGGAATCTTGTATTTTTCCGCTGCTTTTCTCTGCGATATTCGTCCACTTTTAATTTCCCTCAAACATTCCTGCAATGTTTCATTTGAATAATCGCTATACGTCCTTGAACCCCAATTTCTTTTGTAGTTTCTTGGCATGGTTAAAGGTTTGGCTAAAATATTTAAAATGCCGGAATATCATCTAGCCCTCTAGTATTTTAAGGTTTCAATCTTTTAAGACCTCTCACCTCTCATGACATCTTCTTCTGTAAGTAGCGGAATGTTACAACTGTTAATATTAACAACATTATCTAGTTTAGACATATCAGTTTTAGACGAATTAGTGTACGATGACTGAAAATATGTAGCAAATGCATTGACAATGTCTTGTGAATTATTTAAAGGATTATTATCAAAAGTCATAACATTTGGAATACTACCGCAGTTTTTCCTTGAATTTATATACTGCCAAAAATAATTGGGGTTAGAAGATATTCTATTCTCAATATTTGTCAAATAATTCCTGTAATTTGACCTAAGAATACTAACCTCGGTATAAATTTCAGCCTCTAGTGTCCTTCTATACAAACGATAAAGAGATGATTTTTTCCTTAAATCCGAGATAATACTTCTATTAAATATACTGTACAATTCGATTGGATTGTCCATGTCCACTCTTGTTGCACGAACTACTATTCTATCTTTGCTATTTCAAAACAATTCATGCATTTGCTATTAAAATATAAGATTAGCCTAACCTCTTAAGCCACCCGGTATATCATAATAATCCATAGAGATAACACAGGAAAAAAATAAGTTTTACTCGGAATAAAGATTTTTATTGTAAGTAGGTATTCTTACTTTTTATATCAAGTTTAATCAAATATATACAGCTCAATAGTAAGTAACTAGTAAATCTAATAATTTACTTTCGAGCTAACTTTGCCATTACATCATCGAAATACAATTAAGCATACGTAATATCAAAAATGCAATTCTTATTATGTAGTTATGTAGGTACTCATTATTACAAGATCCTGTAACTGCATATAATTTCTATTTAATTGCTTCGCATTGCATACTAGTTAGGTTTATAGTTAGAAAAGAACAACAATGAAAAGACCACAATAAAAATTATTATAAAACTATGTGCTGTGTACCTACTTACCTAAAATACGCATTGTTAGTACTGGTAGAATACTGAAAATATTTGGACAAATATTCTATACATTTTCTTACAAAACATGCAACTTCAGCTTTCATTTTCATTTCTTTTTGGTTGAATTTGACGAATTTTGTATTTTGCTTTTATAGGACGAATGGGAGAAAGAACTGGAAAGGCTGACAACAAAATTCGAAAGGGAAATGCAGATGAAAAGGAAACGTGACGACCAAAATGTTTTGACATTACGACACCAACAAGAACGGGATGATTTAGAGAAAAACATGACGCTTAGGAGGGACAAGAAAAAGGAATCACTTACGAGAAAAATGTTGGAACATGAACGGTAAGCATTTATTAACAAAGGTTTAGATGTAAAGTTTGAATTCATATATTTTTGTAACTTTTAATACATTAATACTCTATGTTTTGAATTTCAACGACCTCGGATTTCGTGTCAAATTTATTTGATCGCATGGGGTTTCCTATATGGTCCAAATTTTTCCAAATTTACATGGTATTTGATGCGGGGATTCTTTCATATTACATTATTCTTTAAGTTTCTTTTTTTTCTGGTAAGAAGTCTTCTTAGAGTACCTTTAGAGGTTATAACAGATTCGTCGGATACTCCATTGATATAGAACGCGTATAATTATTTTAACAATTCTTCTTTGATTCTTTATGGTATAACTTTCCTTTTTTTTTTTTTCATTTAGGACATTGTTAATTAAAGTTCAACTTTTACTTAGTGTTGCAGCTCTGGTTGCTAAACATTTGACTATAGTTCTTTTGGTAGAGAAGTAATAGTTAAATCAGAAATTTTGAAAGTGTCCTGCTTTTTTGCATTATTTCTTGGCAATGATTCTATTTATTTTTTAACGTCTACATTATCTAGAAAAGATATGTGCCTCAACTTCCATGGTGAAGTTTATAGCTGGTGGTATGATGTTTATATGTTTCAGAAATTATTCTTGTTGAGGATTTTCGTTATTCCAAATAACGATGATATTGCTTAGCCATATTTTGGGTTGTTAAATCGTCATATTGCTTCTTCCTCGAACCACTCCATGTGTATGTCAGCGATGACTGGAAACACATTGGAAAGCCCATTGTTGTAGAATTGGTTAATAATTTTAAAATAGAAACTTTTCAAAAAAAAGTTCAGAATGTTACTGTATAATCTCTAGAGGTATGCCTCAGCATGTTGAAAGCATGTTAGCAGCTTTATTTTAATAATGTTATTATCATATATCTGTTTTCAGAAGGCAATGTGGCAATTTATTCGGAAAGGCATTCCTGCTATATCTGTATCTGTAACGTGTGGAAGGTGGGTTACTCCTACGCCCCCACGCCACTTAGGCCTCATTTGGCCCATTGTTCATCCTCCTAAGATGATAGGCACCTCCTAGCTCGTGAGCCAGCCTACATATTTATTGTAGTTGACAACGTCGCCAAGAGGTCTTCTCTTATATCGGCTGGTGTTAGCCGATACTCGCCGCCCACAAATCTTCTAATAAATGAGAGCTTCGAACAATCGTAAATAATATGCTCGATGGTCTCAACTTCTTGTTCGTACCCTCTGCAGAGTGCGAATTCTGACAGCCCTATGATATGGAGATGACCAGTCAGAATGCCTGTGACTAGGCGCAGATTCTGTCTAGTCATAGTCAGGTATTTGTTTGCTGCTAACTTAAGAGCTCTCTGGCAACTCTGCAGTTTCTTGTTTCATCCTATCTTTCCTTGAATTTCACAATAGAATGTTTTTTGATTAGGTCTGTCACTACCGATTTTATCAGGCCAATAGAGGGGCCAGGTCCAAAAAGTATTTGATTGCCTGCTTTCTTGGCTAGTGAATCAGCAAGACGGTTACCTTTCGATGTGACGTGATCTTTGATCTATCTTAAAGTGACCACATTGTCGGCCAAAGCTTCGTGACATTCTAGTACTAACCCTGAGTAAATTCGTGGTTGTTTAGGGTGAGTAGTGCTTGTCTGCTATCTGTATAGATGAGCATGTTCCTTTCAGTGATATTCTTTCTAGTTATTTCTTTTGCTGCTATGAGAATCCCCGTTAGCTCTGTTTGAACTACACTGGCACTATTGCTCACAGCCCATTTTATGTTTAGGTTTAAGAATCTGGAGTATATTCCACATCCTGAGCCTTGTTTTTTGTTTTAGAACCGTCGGTGTAGATATGAATCGTACCTGCCACTTCCGTCTCTTCTATTTGTTCTAGGTTCTTGACTATTGAGGAAATATAGGCATTATTCTTTTTTAATGATATGTCTTGGAGGACAATATACAGAAGTGACCATAACATCAGAAGTTTTAAGTTTTATCATTACTGAAGTAGCTTGAAATTCTTCAGTCCTGTATCCCGCTTCTTGATGATGCTTAATTGCTTCTCTAATTATTACTGCGCTATCCCCTCTTGCTGAATTTCGGGGATGAATGGTATGATAAACCTTATATTCCTTAAATTCAATAAAGGACTTATTGGTAAAGTGATTCTCTGAAATTAAACATATGTCTATGCTTCCTATATCTAGGATTGCTTGCAATTCTTGTTGGTGCTGCAGCAGTCCATTAGCATTCCACTATTATTAGACTGTTACTCATTATATTGTCTCTTAGGTATAGCTCCTTTGCTACTATTAAATAGGTGGTTGTAGATTCTAACTCTAGGTTTCGAACTTCAACGACCTCAGGATTTGGAGGTTTTGACCCTCATTGTGTTCTCCTATATGGTCCAAATTTTTCCAAATTTACATGGTATTTGATGCGGTGATTCTTTGATATTATATTATTCTTTAAGTTTCTCTTTGTTTTGGTAAGAACTCTTCTTAGATTACCTCTAAAGGTGAAGCGCGTCGTGATGTTATGACCAATTCGTCTGATTTCTTCGGATACACCATTGATATAAAACGCGTATAGTTATTTTAACAATTCCTTATGTAACTTGAGATACTTTACTTTTTTTCATTTAGGATTTTGTTAAACTTTTACTTGCAGCTTTGGTTAAAAACATTTCACTATGGTTCTTTTGGTAGAGAAGTGGTAGTTAAATTAGACATTTTGAAGGTGTCCTGCTTCTTTTTGCGTTATTCTCTGGCAATGATTCTGTTTATTTTTAAAAGTTTACATTATCTAGAAAAGATATGTGCTTTAACTTTCATGGTGAAGTTTATAGCTGGTGGTATGATATTTATATGTTCCATAAATTATTCTTGTTGAGGATTTTCGTTATTCCAAATAACGATGGTATTGCTAATAGACTTAGCCATATTCCGCGTTACACAGGGTAGATAAAAAATTGCACATAGTAGATTTAAAAAAGTGATGATTTTATTAAAAAAATCTAATATACGTACATTTAATATATAGTTGTTATTATTACTATGTACCTACATATTTTTATTTATTATTAGAAACAATATAAATTATTATTTATTCCACATTTCTATCAATGTAAGTTGTTTTTTATTCTTTTGTAATGCGTAAGATGATTCCATGAATGTCCTTAATTCTAAAATCTTCTTTCTCATCGGTTCGCTCTCTATTCTTTGGGAAAAATCCTCTAACGCTGCAACACTCCTCAAAGCTTCAGAAAAATTTTTTATCCGATCGGATTCTTCAACTTCTGTTCCTGTAGATAAAAATAATAATTTAAGAACAGATCGTTTTGAAAAGCTAATGGGAAAATAATTTTTTCTATCTGTTATTTTTGTGATGGTAACTGAAATCTTCCTATCTTATTTTTATTATGTATTTTAACTTTATTTCTACTTGGCCAAATGCCCAATTAAGATGGAAAGAATAAATAAAAAGTTGTTTATTTTTTTAGAGAATTAGAAAAATCGCTTACCAATTCCAATCCCATCATTATCGTCTACCACAGTAGTTTCCACGGCAGTTTTTTCTAACACCAGTTCTTCTATGGACTGAAATCCAGCATTTGTTGTAACGGCTTCATCTAATGTGATGTAATCATGAACATTACAACCGGGATTAATTTCAGTAATTAACTCTTCGACTTCTTTTGTACTTTCGTCAATTTCGTCATCATTTTCGATTAGGTCAACGTCTCCATCTTGCTTGATTCCACATGCCGCAAAACATTTTTTAACACAATCAGGTTTAATATTTTTTACTGAATAATCAATCCATCTGATAGTATCCAAAACTGATATTTTTTTAGCCAAATCTCCTGCTGATTGAGAGAATCTCATATTCGCAATAATTGACCGCAGCACTTGTTTTCTGTAATGCATTTTGAAGTTTTGTATAACTCCATGATCGAGAGGCTGTGTTTGACTTGTGGTGTTTGGTGGTAGAAAACACAATTTTATATTGGATAGTATTATTTTGGGGTGACACGTTGCATTATCCAAAAATAGAAGGATGTGTCGATTTTCAAATTTCATTTTTTGATTTAAAATTTTTAGCCACTGTTCCATAAGAACTGATGTCATCCATGCTTTTTTATTTGCTCGCCAATAAACTGGTAGCTGAGGCACATTGGTATTGTTAAAACATCGCGGTCTGAGGGATTTTCCAATAACTAGAGGTTTTTCTATTTTTCCGTCAGCAAAGGCGCAAAACAAAACGGTTAACCTTTCTTTAGATTGTTTGCCTCCTTGACATTTTTCACCTTTAAAGCACATTGTCTTGTCCGGCAGCGCTCTATAAAAAAGGCCAGTTTCGTCACAATTAGCAATGTCTTTTAGGGTATATCCTTTAATTAAATCTGTAATGTGCGATGTCCATTCAGTCACAGATTCCATGTCGACGTCCTTAGCTTCACCGCAGATCTGATTAAATCTTATGTTATGTCGTGTTCGAAAACTTTCCAGCCATCCATTCGAAGCTTTAAAATCTACTTTTCCAAAATGGTTTGCAATTTTTCTTGCTTTTTCTTGAATAATTGTTCCAGATACAGGAAGATTGCGAGACCTTGCATCCATAAACCATTCCAAAACTGTTGAATTTACGTCGTCGTGATGTGATTCCTTTGGCTTTCTCTTAATATCGCCATTACCACCACGCATCCACTCTTCTTTAATTTTTTTTCTTGTTTATCAAAATTTCATACACTTGCGTTTTTCCGCACTTAAATTGAATAACCAATTGCTTTGGAGTAAGTTTTTTTTGGTCCATTTTAGATTTTAGCGATAATGTATTCGTTTTTCGGTTTGCCATTTTGAAATGTTTGCACTTTCACGGATAAACTCAAACTGCCGTACCTACACAATACTGGTTTATTTGTGTATTTACTGCTTTTGTACCTAAATTTCTGTGATAATAGTTCTAAGTATTGATAATAGTTCGCCCTTATTATGGGGCTTTCCGAAATCATAAACTAATTATGTAAACATCTATAAATTCTTTTATAGCTGCAAAGCAATAACATAAGTAGGTTCCGGCTTAACAGATTAGGGAAATTCCGTGTTCGCGTTAGACAGGGTTCCGGCTTATAAGCAATTTTTACATTACAATATGTAGGTAATCGCCAAAATTTCCGTCATACACAGGATTCCGTGTTACACAGGTTCCGGCTTACTCAGGTTTCACTGTAATTTGTTATCAGAAAACAATATGGAAATTTATTCGGGAAGGGCATTCCTGCTGTAGAAGAGAAAGCTCTGACGAACAGTTGAATTAGTTGAGCTCGTATATGCTCAATGCTCAGTGGTGTTTAATTCATATAGATTGCGAATTTGAATGTTTTACTATAAAATGATTTATACGTATTAATATCTCAACGTATATGTACGTTTATGAGAAAGCAGCATGTCTTATTGAAGATGTGGTTTCCAAATTGCGAATTATCCTTGTTCTGTTTCAAGATAGTGCTGAACTTTATCTTATAGCTAATTTTTGCATAACTTAATGACAACAGCGTTCTTTATATTTCCGTCGACTAAAACTTAAATATTTACGAATCAGATAAATATCCATAGTGACGATATTGATAAAACAATTCCTTTCGTCTATTTACAGACAACCCGTCAAGCTAGATACAAACCATATTTATTATGTTGAATATTCTATTAAAATATCATATCTATTACTTAACAATATCTGTAATAATATGCTTTAGTTCGTGGTCTAGTCCATATCTTGTAAGTTTCAATGAATGTCTCAAGCATGTAATATTATGATATTGTACCTAAACTATCGTGATTGTCCCAGATTGCTTATTCTCTAAGTCTACTTCTATTTTTAATTCACATCTTATTTTAAATCTGTAAATGAAAACGAATTGCAAATTACTATGGAACGCTCTAATTTGTATATTTTCTTGTATTGGTGCCGCAAATATGTGAAGTATATTTTATGAAAAATACTTAAAATTTATTTCATTTTGTTTTAGGGCAGCAACAGCAGCTCTTGTGGAAAAACAGAGTCACGAAATGTTGGAACTAATTAACGAAAAGCGCAGCGAATACATGCAAGCGGAATCTCTCTATTTGGACCACACTGACGGTTATGCAGATGAAGTTCAACCATATCCGAGTCATGCACCTGCTCCTGCACCGCCAGCGCTCAGTAAATTTCAGGTAGGTACACCTACAAAAAATTGTTTCAATCTTATTTTATTTTTATTTTTAATTGCAGGTATATAATGATCCAATAGAGTTTGCAAATGTAGACCAAATTGCAATATCAGTTGCCCAAGAAGACCAAAAATCCTTTACTGATTTGGTAAGACAGCTTGTAGGACGATGTGGATCTGATGTAGAAAAAGCAAGGTAATTATCCTTTAGAGAAAATTCAAATTATATGATGTTTTCTTTTATAACTGTATCTCTTGTCATCAGCTGTTCTTATTTTTTAAGTATATCTTTGTGGTTAGGGGTGGACTTACAAATGTGTCGCCGATAGGCTGAACCAAATCGCTATGCTATATTTTTTACAAAATTTAAAATAGTTTCTATAATAATGAATACGAAAATTGTACGAATGTTTATTATTATGTAAGGGGTTTTCTCGCCACAGAGAAAACGGTTCCTTACGAATGACGCTGGTTACGGGCGGTTCTCGAGCGCCAGATTTTTGATGATGGTTTACTCCACAAACTTTCGAAACGGCATCGAAAGTACTCGGGTAGCTACAGATGGAGATGAAAAATTCCAGGGGTCAAAGGTCACTTAGACACAGGTAATAGTAGGCCACAAGTAACGGGCTTTAATCGTTGCTTGGGCTCGTACAGAATTTATCACTAGTTGAAATATAAGGGGGAAATAAAGTAGGGAATTATTAACCAGTAATACGGCAAGTTAACATTGACACATATATTGTGAATAACCATTTACAACATAAAAAATTATCTATTTCAACGCCCACCCCAGTTGTGGTGATAGTCAATATAACCCTGAATAAAAAAAGAAACAAAACGGACGGTATTGAATCGCGACTAGTCTCAATCAGACGTCAAAATTGAATTAAAATAAAATGTATGTTTCGGTCGCAGAGAAAAAAAAATTATTGACTTGGCTATTTACTCGGTAATTAACTGTTTAACTGTGGTATCGGGAATTAAACTAAAATGTAGGTATTTCACTATTTAGGTAAGGAAAAATTAGCTAAACGGTCATAGAGAGTGCGAGGAGACAGGGACGCGAAAGAATTACTTATAGTAAATATACGGAAAGAAAATAAAAATAAATTTATACCCGGGGTAGCCCATTATCCCAGAATGAGCTGATCGTCATCAAGAGCCCGCTTAGACAAGGTAATGAAGCTATTTTTGATTTCTGCAAGTTGCAGTTTGCACGAAAAAATGAAGAATATAAAGGGACAAAGAAAACTAACGCGGATAGCACCTAATCCAAGAATGAACTGATGGTCATCACGAGCCCGTTCAGACAGGGACAGGATAATATTTAAAGTTATTTAAATGGACGGTGAAAGAGAAAACAAACTATTATCGGAAGGAAGAAAATTACTAATGCGGATAGAACCTACTCCAAGAGTGAACTGATCGTCATCACGAGCTCGTTCAGACAGGACAGGATACTATTTAAGATTATTGAAATTTGCGGTTTTACAGATTAACTAAATAAAAAAAAATAACGCGGACAGCACCTACTCCAAGAGTGAACTGATCGTCATCACGAGCCCGTTCAGACAAGGACAGGATGCTATTTAAGATTATTCAAATATACGGTAAAAGAATAAATAAACTATTAAAAGAGGGAAAACGTCTCCTCGAAAACTCCGTTTACAAATATTCCCAACTTAATTTCAACGCGGCACTTACTAAACAAAAGTATTTATCAATAAAATCAAATTTAATTCCCGATTTAACCTACCAAAAAGAAAAAAAATAATTTCCTAATACAGACTAACGATCAAAAGTCTAAATCCCGGTTTTACAATATTACAGAATCAAATCCTATCATTTATTATTTAAATCAAATTCTATTCCTTTTAAAGAAAGGGTATTATATTTGCCAAGAAATAAATTCAAATATTTATTAATGAAATCAAATTAAAGTCTTTTAACTCAACACTATCTATAAAAAAAAAAGAAACGGTATTATTTGTCAAGAAACAAATTCTATTATTTATTAATGAAATCAAATTTAAAATCTTTTAACTCAACACTATCTATAAAAAAAAACGGTATTATTTGCCAAGAAACAAATTCTATTATTTATTAATGAAATCAAGTTAAATCTTTTAACTAAACACTGAATGAAAATATTCCTATTCCTAGAAGCTAAATCGGTTTTTAAAATGAAATACGGTCTCAATATAAAACGTAAAAAGCGGAACGAAGTTTTTTTACCTAACGGATTTGTAAATACGAGAAAAAAAATTATTGGCGGTGATTTGGTTTGTGCTGCGGCTTATTAGTCTTGACTGGTGGCAATCAAATATTCTATCGAACTCCTAATTTTAATAGCATCTCGGGTCTCGTTCAACTACTGAATCCCTTTCCCCATCAGAAACCCCACCTACGTTCAGACCCATCGCGCACGATACTCGATCGGCGTTCGCGCATGTAAATCAACTTAGAACCAACAGTTCAATCGTGTTTAATATTTATTAAAAATGAAAATAAACTGATTGAGGATAATTGACTTCATTACAATTATCACGAAAATTACAACAAAAATTTTATTCCAACAGAATATAAAAACTGATATTGTAAATTATAATATATTTACATATCACAGACTAAATCTGTACCCCAGAGTCAGAGTATGATAAGTCCAAAAACTTTAATTCCTAATATTCCTTGAAGGAGGATGACTCCAGTAAATGCCTATAGATCGCAACTGGCAAAAAAGTCTTGATTTTATACAATTTACTCGTACATAATTATCATATACAACAATAGTCATAATCATTACAGTTACATGAAATATCAATTATTCTTTATTATTGATTTATTGAAATAATATTTTATAGTTGTTTGCGTTGAAACGTGTACTTTGATTTTACAATAATTATTATATTTATATACTTTAATAAATAACTTAATGTGTGCACGTATATTTTAACTTACGACTTAAGTGACCTTCTTTGCAAGGATGTCGCAAAAACATACGGTGAAACGTAAGAATTATGTTTAGCAAAAAAAATTAATTCTTAAGGAATGTTTGTCGGTTATAATTCCGAAACTATTAAAAATTAGGGTAGGAAATTTAGGAAAAAACAACCAAAGTTAAAAACAAAAATATAGGAATTTAAAAAGGGACGCTCTCGGTGGGAATCAAACCCATGGTCCCTGGCTTTTCGGGGTACTGTCTTACCCACTGGAACTTTAGGAGATTTTATTTATCCTGAGATGTAGAAATTAATTTGAAATGATTAGAAATTTACCCAATTTTCTTTCAGTCAAAAAAACTTGTAGCATCGGAGAAATGACTTGATATTAAGAACAAACGCGAAAGCAAAAATGTTTTAAGGATTTGCTAATATAAAATTGTATTTATATGCGAGATACTGGGAATACTTCGCGGTATATATGCTTCGAGAATATTGAGAGTTCTAAATTTGTGCCACGATCAGGCAGCACTCTACAGAGACATTTAAGAAAACAAGGAGGGAAATGCTCTTATTAAAAACTACTGGTTATTTAATATAACAAAAAGCAGCAAATTCTCATAGATTTAATACAGAATGGCTCGTAATTTTTTTCTTTTAAATCCTTTTCATCATTTTCTCCACCCTAAGTTTTGTTATTATTAGTATTTCCTGAAAATTTCACAAAAATTGGACTATAGATAAAGGCTCAGAAGGAATTGCAAATTTTCAATGTGTTCGGTTTGCTCTTAAATAACTAAATTGGTCAATTTTAAATCAACATGGCAATAGTAAAATTTTAAATATCTTGCCAATTCGCAAATTTTAAAATTATGGCGAGAAAATTTGATGTACATAGTTCAATATATTATTTGTCTCTAAAATATTTATTTTAGGACGATATTCAGATGGATCACTGTGAAAAACTTAAACACGATGTCCTTTGACGACAACCTTAGAGGAGATACACCCATGGGACTTTTGAGGGGCATTAAAAATGGCACAGAAAGCTATCACGTACTCTTCAAGAGGTTATGCAGGTACATCGTTTTTTAATTCAATTTTCTTTTACACATTTAGTCAAATCATTGAACCCTACGATTTTCACCTCTACTAAAACTGAAGGTTATAAATTATCCTTATCATTATCTCAATAATGCTGTTTTAAATTTCAGTTACGCGGGTCTTCACTGTGTGGTCATCAAGGGCTATTCGAAATCAGCCGGGTACCAACCAGGTGTCAGGTTCGAGGACAATAGATTTAGGAATTCCTGGAACGCCGTTTACGTAGCTGGAGCATGGAGATTCGTACAATGCAACTGGGGCGCCAGACATCTAGTCAATGCTAAAGAAGCACCAAAAGCTGGTAACAAAACCAAATCCGATAGTTTGAGGTAAATACAATGAGTTTTCGTTTTATTAAGTGTATTTTCACTAATCCATTGCTTGCATTCAGTTGTACTATTTGTTAACCGTTTTCTAACTAAACACTTGTGTAAACTTTTGATGATTTGGCCCCTTTTTTATACATCGGCTAATAGCCGGTACTTGTGTGGACTGTAACTAAGCAAATGAAGATGGACTTCTTGTTTATGAAACGCTGTTGAACGCTACATTGATTTAATTCACTTGGAAAGAACGATAACACTATTATGTACATATACAGGGTCATTCTATATGGGCGGAACACTTGATTTATGGCTTAACTATGACTTGTACGATAATTTGACTAGATAAAAGTTTTTGTACATTTTATGTACTATTTATTGACGTTTACAGATTTCCCGCATACGTAATGGTTTTCAAGATATGACGTCATCGGGCAATATTTTAAATGGATCACCCTTTATTTATATTTTTTTTTCGAGTTCGTATGATCTGTCTGAATTCATCAATGGTACATTAAGTGGGTCCCAGACTTATGGTCTTATAATAACAATTAAATTAGAATATACTTTAATAAGACACATTTATGTAAAGTAGATGTTCAAACTGAAAGCCTTCGGCTGCCTGGCAATATCCTAATCTATCAACAAATGATCTTAAACTGTTTTGAATAGATTCAGGAGTTATTTCTTGAGTGGCCGCTCTGATTCGATCTTCCAGTTCTTAATAGATCATGATATTGCCAAGAAACCGAAAAAAAAATATATAAATACAGGGTGATCCATTTAAAATATTTAAAATGTGTCTTATTAAAGTATAATCTAATTTAATTGTTATTGATAAGACCGTAAGTCTGGGACCCACTTAATGTACCATTGATGAAATTAGACGAATCATACGAACTCGAAAAAAAATATAAATACAGGGTGATCCATTTAAAATATTGCTCGATGACGTTATATCTTGAAAATCATTACGTATGCGGGAAATCTGTAAACGTCAATAAATAGTACATAAAATGTACAAAAACTTTTATCTAAGTAAAATTATCGTACAAGTCATAGTTAAGCCATAAATCAAGTGTTCCGCCTATATAGAATGACCCTGTATACACTAAATTAAAGAGATACTATAATCGCTAAGAAATTAACACTGTGCTATTATTATGTAAGGTGCCCAGGCAGCACACATAGTCCAATGAACGTTTACTTTAGATCCATTTGAGGCTAGAACGTCTATATCCGTATTCGGACATCCAGTATAACATCCATTTATGGTCATTAATTTGACAGTTGCATATCCATACCCAAAGAACGAGAACGTTTTTGGAATTTAAGTCCAGTGGACATCCATTTTAGTTTATTATGTATTTAGCATACCAGATAATAACCATATATACATCTTTTTTTTTAATATAATATTGGTCATAAAAAATGCTCGTTGGTCGAAATCGTCTGACGGTTGAAAGCGTAGAACGTTAACGGACATATCGTGAGTTCGATCCCCACTTAGGTCAAGCAATTTTTGATTAAAACAAAAAAGAAATGGTGTATAGCGGGTTGCGAAATTAGTAAATTATTAATAATCTAAAACAGTGTGTGGTGAGCTGCGATTGTGTAAAAAGTGTGGATGTGGTCTCAATGGAATATAATCCAGGAATAGAGGTGGTTGATTTTAGCGCTATCCCAGTCTTGCTCATAGGATGTCAGGGAATCACCTACTATAGCATGGTTTTTAATTTTTATTTAAGTGTATTTTTCGCAGTCATATTCATTTACCTAGATATTAATAAGTAATATAGTTTTGAGAATGTCCTAACAATTAAAATCAAAGAGGATAAAGTTTAGTGGAATTTTGAACTTTGTATACCTACTTTTAACATGACTTTTGTCAAAAAAGGTTTCTTTTAAAACTACAAATTGAAATTTAAAGAAACATTAAAGAGAACCATCCTACTCTGTGTCCTTGGAAGAAACATCAGTAAAAGTCACAAAAAATTTAAGGCAACTAAAACTTTTTACTTTTAGGAAAAAACGATAGGGATAATATATTAAAAATATTTTTTCAAATCACAATATATCTATATACATTCCAAAAAATTTTTTAATGTTTTGGAAGGAAAACATGAAAACATTAAAATATATAAAAAGTGCTTTCATTTATAGTGTTCTTTTATGAAAACAATAATTGATTTAAAAATTAATATTTTATATTATATCTGTAATATTTTTCATTATAAATTTATCGTAAAATCACTGATCACTGCTAAGAATCACTGTGATTTTGAAATCACCGGCACCGGTATCCCGATTAATCTAAAAATAAGGTATCGGCCATCTCTAATTCTTGTGTGTGAAGTGAACTGCTGAGTGCAAAGCTCCCCTTCAATTGTCGAATGGACTCGTTCAACTAATGAGCACGACGTGATCAAAAGAAAATCCGTTAAGGCAAGTGGACGTACGCGTATGAGGCAAGCCGAGGTCGTTCGCCACTGATTCAGTGAATTCGAAAGCATGGAACCGTACACCCAGAACACTTGTAAAATTAAAACAAAAATGGAGGACGAGGAAGATGTCGCGAAGTTAAGTTCCGTTTTATTATTTTATCTGACGCATTGAAGAAAAAAAGGAGAAGAATGAATCGATGGCCGATTTCTTCACAAAAGTATGTCCCCAATCTCTGGTCACAAGCATCTTCTTTTTTACTGCGTTGTAATAGAACTGGTGGCTAGCTCTCCATAAGATATTTCGCTTATTATATAAATCCAGGAGAAGCAAAACGTATTCCTGACTCCACTTCATGCAAATTAAACCTTAAAAACTTGCTATAATCTGTTTGGTGTTGTATGGTACAAATTCCCCGTCCAGACTGAGCATGTATTGCGCATTGCCTCGTCCACATCTGCATGCTCTTGCGTCCTCGGCTCATACGTGTGTTCAGATCTGTACCAGCCTTTAGAGATTATTTTTAACTCTACCACATACTAAGAAAATCAAAGTATGTGATGTGAACTCTACTGAATGTGACCAGGCAAGACGCTACGAATTGAAAGACAGAATATGTAATGGAATGTTGCACTACGTGACCGAATATTAGGTCTTTTCCTTTGCATCGAAAGTGTAGCACTGAGCTACACCACTTCTGAAAATATCGTTCCATTTATACAAATTGTATGGATGGAACAATATTTTCAGAAGTGACGTAGCTCAGTGCTACACTGTCGATGCAAAGGAAAATACCTATTAAGTTGTATGTATGTATTTTTTAAATGCGTGGGTTTAACAATGACATATATAGTTTAAATAGACTGCTTATACATACGTAAATAAAACGATGAAAAGTGGGTCGAACTGGGAGATGTTTTCTCTTTGTCTAGTGCATGCAATGTTTGTGTTTTGTCTCAATTTTGAATGCTCACTGGTAAACAAACCTTTCACAGGACCGGTTTTAAAGAAAGTTTAGTCTAGTTGAGATTTTGTTCTCATTGTCATTACTCAGTCGGATATTTTGTTGAATTGTCTATTTTATTTAGTTTTAATTATACTTATGTTCTGTTTTAAGTTTTTTAATTATTTGAGTATAAAAACTTGTTTTGTTTTTAAATTTAAATGGTGAATTGCTCTATAAAGGTTTGTAAGACCAGCTACAGAAATATAAAAAGTAACATTTCATTTTTCACGCAAGTATCAATACAAATAGGTACAAGGTAAATATGTTTATAATAATTTTACGAATTATAATTAATTATAATAATAATATTAATAATAATAAAGTATTTATTGTAAATACAATTACATAAATATTATTATATTCAAAGGCCCGAGTTAGAGCTATCTGGGCTTTACAAGTACATTTTAAAAGTTAGTTAGATACAGAGAAGTATCGTATAATAAAAACTCAATATAAATAGAAGAAAAACGGACATAAGTACCAATACAGAGAGACAAACTTTTATTCTTTGATAGATTCTTTCTATGTGAATTCTAGCTCTGGCAATTTTGGCATTAAGTAAAGCCTCTTGATGGCTGAACTGATTTTTTTTATTGAGGAAAGGAGGCTGTATAATTTGTATACCTTCAGCTTCTGTTATGTTTCCAATAAATAAACCTTTGTTAAACATTTTACTATCGAGAAATGATTCACACACTTCAAGTATTGAACTTTGTGAAAAAATGTCTATTTCTGAAGTTTACCACCATATGCTTCACTTTTGTAAGTAATGAGACCAGTAGGTGACACTCCAGTCAATATTTTAATAGTATGCCTCTTTTTGTAGTCAGAGTAATTTTTTAGCCTACAACAAAGACATTTGGCTTGCTGTATTGGGATTTTGGTACAATCAAGTAGTAGTACTCTTACTTACATATAGGCACATTATTTAATATTTCTTGTTTTGAAGGCCGAATTATACCATACTAAGAACTTCTACCAGTTTTATTAAAAACTGTTAAAAAATTTAACGATAAAAAGTTTCATTCACTCCAAATAAAATGAATAAGACATTATATTTTGCATATCAGTTTTCAACTTCATAAAAGTAAATATAACTTGATCCTTTACAGACATAACTGATCTCCTTTTTCCTATTCTTTAGAAACAACTCTGCTACTAATTCCACAATGGTGGCTAATAACTGGAAGGATTGCAATCCTATTAAAGTATATAGTTCTTTAGCACTAACAATTTTGTTTGAAAACGGATCAACTAAATCACCACTCTTCACTTGTGTTGAACAATCGATCCCAATTTTCTGCTTTTAAACAAAGTTTTGTAAATTAAGCAAAGCTATTCAGCAACACACAAATCTTCATTATCTGCTTCAGTAGTAGATATATGTTCATTAACTGCAAAAACACATTAAACATAATAATAATAATTAACCAAACATTTTAAATTATGCATACGTACATCCATTGCCTGAAGAAGATAACTCAACACTTAACATTTTACTAGTACTGGCAACATATCATTATTAAAGACAGTAGCCATAATTCTTGTTTTAGCTGGATTACTTTTCTTTTTATTAATAGTCGCTTTCTTTTTACCACTAATCTGAGCTAACTTACATCGACTAAAGCCTAGGTTTCTTTGAACACTTCGTCGCGGTGAGCGGACAGTCCGTCAACCGTCGCGTTTTGACGATTTTATCCAACCAGAGTATTTAAATGGGAATGGTTTTCTTGAATCCGCTTAGCTGAGCAGGACGGCGTCATGCCGCTGATTTGTCGCGAAGAGTCGGTTGATATCTGTTGAGTTTGATATCAGCGGAATCGTCGGCGTGTGCGGAGACTATATTGTTATTAATTTTAAAACAATGAGTGACAAATTAACACATAGATGACATCATGACTTTATTTTTAGGTTTCTTGGAAATTATGTCCTTTATAAAACTCAACACGAATTCAAAAAGATCTGTAGAAAGTCTAAAATACTCCCTAAATTTGGTTTCATTTCTAAAAAGCCTCCGCTGCACAGTGATAGTAAAGGCACCTTCTGTATCGCGACACAAAAACAACTCATCAACTGGCTTATTGGAAACTGACGGTTGCAATTGCCAGTTCCTCTTGTTCTTCCTCTTCCAACACTAATAACAACGCAAACAATTTATTTGCATCCATTTTAGTACCTTTCGTTTACATTCATAATACATAAACAGCACGTACAGACATAGAGAAAGTATCATTTTCTATATTTTTTAACAAACCACCTCGGGCGAAAATTGCTGTCCTCAGCGGTCGACGGACTGTCCGCTCACCGCGACGGAGTGTTCAAAGAAACCAAGGCTTAAGCTTAGTTGTACGTTCTTTTTGTGATTGTAAGTCAGACTCTTTATTTCCCTCTTACCGATGCTAAGGTACACGGATCTTGACGTCAACTAAGATTGCACTTTGTACCTAGTCCATTTTACTATGATGTTGATCAGATTTCCACTGGTGGAATTTTATTATTATTCATCAAATCATTCACATTCACCGCCAAAATAATCCTTAATTGTCTAAAGGGACAAACTTTAGAATGTGAAAAAGCTACTAACTTTAAATCTTTAAAAAGTTCATTCAATTTTTGCATAATATCTGCTTTTATAATGCGAAATAAATTTTAAAAGAATAATCAAGTGTCCGAATAGTGCCACTATACGGTAGTCATGGTCTAAAGTTAGTTATATACACATGAGTGTAAAATTGTTTATATCTATGTTCAAAATTGGTTAGATTATTTTGTGGTCGTAGGAAAAATATTGTACATCACTTGTGTGAAAAGTGATTTTCCACACTCGTATGATAGTTGCACTCGACTTGTGCCTCGTGCGACAATATTTCCCACTCGTGTGAAAAATGTCACTTTCCACACTCGTAATGTAATATACTACTTTTTTTAGGTACGAATACGACGACCACTACTTCCTTACCGATCCCAAAGAGTTTATTTACGAGTTCTTCCCGCTACAATCTGATTGGCAATTGCTCAAGAGTCCTATCACACTACAAGAATTCGAGGAACTTCCGTTCGTACGATCATTGTTCTTTAGATACGGACTGTACTTTTCTGATCCAAATACAAAAGCAGTTATGTTTACAGATTCAACAGGTATGTAAAAAACTGTGTTATATTGCCCAATACAACGATTTTATAAATTCTTTGAAAATTCGCTTAAGACATCTTTAAAAATTACCCCTACGAAATAATGAAAATTGTTTCTGAAGCCTCTAAAAGTAATTAAAAAATTATGTGTTGTTCGAACCCTCCATATCCGCGTTTTAGGTACGCTGCCTTATCAAGTTGACCATCGGGACATTATACAGGGTGAGTCGGGAGGAGCGCACCAAACTCTAGGAGTATATTATATCATATGTTCTTATCCGATTTTCATTTGTTTTCAAGTTATAGCATATTAACAAATAAACAAATTTACACAAAAATTCTCTTAATCATAGCGTTCTTTCAATAAATGTTCAAAAATACCGCCATTGACTTCTAAACATTTTCTGCTTCGTCTACGAAGAGCGTTTGTTGCTCTCCTAATTGATTAATTTCTTCTTTAATATGGGCTGCAGTATTCTAAATTCGTCTAATTAGTGCATCCCGTGTGTCCACTTGTATTTTTAAACTTAATTTTTCATCCAGCCCCATAAACAAAAATCTAATGGTGTGAGGTCTGGAGATCTTGCAGGCCCATTAATAGAACCTCCACGACCAATCCAACGCCCTGTAGCATTTCCATTATAGAAACCATAAACAAACACCATATTTGCATATTCTAATTTTGAATAAGTATCTGGCATTTTGCAACACTAACAATCACATAAATTCGAAATTAAACGTTCAGTTAGTGTTTACTGTACACTGACAGTTCATCAAAACGTCAGAATTATCAAATGCCTTTGAGCCTTGAACATATGGCATACTTTGATAATGTTAAAATTCAGAAGTGGAAAGCTAGATAAATATTTCTAATTACGCCATAACTTGAAAACAAATGAAAATCGGATAAGAACATATGAGTTTTTTTTTACATTATTTTCACGTGTACAGGCTACAATTTAAAATTTGTTAGATGTATACAGGATGTCCCACATAAGAAAAAAAAATAGTTCATTAAAAATTATTCAAACAAGAGTAAACAATTAATTTCTGGGAGACTCTTTTTCTTTAAAAATTCAAATAAATCGAAAACTAATAATAATAGTAATAAGGAACCTTTAGTTAACTGACATTATTTTTGATGTAGTTTTTAATTCTAAAATAAAAAACAGGGTGTTCCATTAAAAATAATGTAACTTTGTATATTTTCTCTTATGTGGGACATCCTGTATACATCTAACAAATTTTAAATTGTAGCCGTCTGTAACCTACGTATTCCTCCCAAACGAATTTTTTATATCTTTGGTCGTTTTCCCATAAAGCTCCGTCCCGTTGAGCGTGAGCCACCCTGTATAATATACTCCTAGAGTTTGGTGCGCTCCTCCCGACTCACCCTGTATATCCGGAGTCCGAATAGATAGTGTTCCTCACTATGAGAAACTGCTTCAGAATATCAAACCCAGAGAATAAATGTTTGTTTATTACTGCTTTTTATAATCGAATTGGATCCTTGACATATTATACTTATTTACAGTACGACAAGATTGAGGTGGCAAGTCAGAATTAGATGCGCATTAGCAAATAGGATCGAAATTTCCCTTAAGATATGTTTATCGTCATGTATAAATATAACGATAACACACGTCAAGAGGTATGGCCACTTCACTCATTGCAAGCTGCGTCTTTCCTTCTCAGGCTGCTTTTTTTTCTGTTCTGCGCATTTCACTTGCCATCTCAAATTTGTCGTACTGTATATATATTTATAGTTAGTGATGCCGCGAGACAAGACGAGACGAGAGAGTGGCCTCTCTCGTCTCGTAGGGCGAGAGAAAACTGTTCTCTCGTCTCGACGAGAAGGCGCTTCTCTCGCTCGAGAGAGCCTTTCTCTCGTCTCGTTTCTCTCGTGATAAAACAATATCAAATTTAAATTTGAAAAAGACGAAACATGAAAAAACGGTAAAATTTATAAGACAAAAACAAAGAATTTTTCAAGTAATTTGCTCATTAGTACCCAAATTTGGCAATAAAAAACACTTATGTCTCTCTGTCTGTCCGTCCGTATGTCACAGTCGTTTTACAATTGAAATCTGAAGTAATAAGTGGCCCAGATTAGGCCTTAACTAAAAATGAAAATACTTTGTCATGTAAGTCAGTTGGGGAGGGGGGGAGAGGTTAAATTGGAAGTTAGAATTTTTCTAATGCAATCCTGCGATGTCAAATGAAAGCATTTTGTAGTATGTTTTCAAAGTGCAAGAAGATAGACATAAAACAAACACGATGTGAAATTAGAGAAACATGATATTTTTGTTATAATGAGATGCACTTTACTTGAGACGTAAAATAGAGACCGTTACTATCTTTAAATTTTCTAATGGAAAATAGTCATGTAATACCTCATTTGAATGGTATTTTGATTATATTTACGTCCAAGCAAACAGTTTTAATTTTTTTTTGTTTTTACAAAAATTACATTCTTGACAATCCTCGTGTGCCGCAATAATCCTAGAAATGTTAGATAATGTTAGAAGAGAATTTTTTAATAAGCTTTTTTTTGCCAAGAAATTATGAAAAATTTAATATGTCAAGTGGTTTTTAAATCACCTTTGATATTCTTAATTTATTTATTTTTAGTAAATACAAGAAGCGTTTCCTTAGTAATAAACAATAATTGTTAATACGAGAGTTATCAACAATGTAACTTATTAGTAAAGGCCCAGAATATGTCTGTATAAGAACAAAGTACCAGCTACAAATAAATTGCCATTTGTGTAGTGTTAAATCCTTCTAACAGTAAAAAATTACTTAAATTTATAAAAGATTACTCTGTACTAGCCAAAATGTTAATTAGCCATTATATAGGTACTATTGTAAAAAACAGCATTTATAAGGTATTATACCTCCGGTACTGATCCTTTGAGGTTGAAGCGGTAAATAAAAAAGAATTTAACCTACATTATGAATTTATTTAATGTAATTTCTGTAAAAACATAAAAACCTAAATCTGTTTACATGAACGTAAACATATAGAAAATGAGGTATCACATGACCCTACGTTCCATTAGAAAATGTAAAGCTAGTATATCCCTCTATCTTTCGTGTCTCTAGTAAAGTGCATCTCGTTATAACAAAAATATATCTCTTGAGTTTTACTTCGTTTTTGTTTTGTCATTATCTTTTTTCATTTAGAAGTTAAAATAGAGGAGGGCACAATTTTCGTCCTCACTGTATATAATACATTCGTTTGTATTACCTTTTCTTTGACAGTTTTTAGAAAAAATTTCAACTTATCTTCAAAAGTAACCTCAGAAAAGCACAATGGATTAAATATAAGAAATGATTGTATAAATTTTAAATAAATGAAATGAGAAATATGTTTTCTTATAAATCACTATTTATAAAATCCTAATAACACAAGTATCATTTGTTACCATTTAATATACAGTGCTTTTCAGATAAAAGTATCCACCTTAAGTAACTTTTGAAGGACTGATTATTACAAAAAACAAAAAAATACGTCAATTAATATTCGAAGGGGGAGATATCGTGCCATATTTAAGTTTGCTAAAAAAAGTCACCCTTTCCCCCCTACTATCATCCCTTCAATTTTTTTAAATGGCTTGCCCCATTTTTTATCCATTTTTGGATTGCTCTCGTTTAACTGATTTCAAAAATGTATAAAACATGGGGATTAAATTAATTTGTTTACGATCTACAGAATTTTAAATTAAAATAAAATTGAATTGTGCAAAACTTTTATTTTAATGATTTTGTCACAAGCATTTCCAATGACAAAACGAATATTTCATTTTCAAAATTTATTATAAAAATTGTTCAAAATGTCCACCATTTACTTCCATACAATGGTATAACCTAGATTGAAAAGCCTCCCTGACATTACCGAACACGTGTGCATTTAAATGTAGGCATTCATACTCTATTCTTTGTCGTAAATCTTCTAAAGATTCTGGTTGGGTAGCATAAATTTTTGTTTTTAAATAACCCCATAAAAAGAAGTCTAGAGGTGATAAATCCGGTGATCTAGGTGGCCACTCCATCATCGAGCCTCTTCTACCTATCCAACGATTGGGGAAAGTTTCATTTAAAAATTGTCGTACTGGCAAAGCAAAATGTGGAGGTGCTCCATCCTGTTGAAAGACAAGCAAATCTTCAGAAAGATTATGATCATTTTCTATTATTGTTGTAATACGTGGATCAATTACTTCTCTCAATAACTCAAGATATGACTCTCCATTTAAGTTTCCGTCTTAAAAGAAAGGTCCGACTATGTGGTCACCTAGGATACCACACCATACATTTAACTTTTGAGGATTCTGTGTGTGGTATTCACGCACAACATGTAGATCACTCTCAGCCCAATATCTGCAATTATGTCTATTAACTAAACCATTAACTGAAAATGTGCATTCATCCGAAAAACAAAGGTTGTGCAACAAATGTGGATTGTCAGTCAAGCGCTGACTCAATAGTTCACAAAATACAAGACGACGATCAAAATCATCTTCATACAACTCTTAAACCAATTTAATTTTGTATGGATGGTACTTATGCTTGTGTAATATTCGATAAACTGTGGAAGATGAAACACCTACTTCTCTGCTTATTGTTGTCAGTGACTGTGCTTGTTGATTTTCAAGACTTACTTGTCCTAAAACTGCGACTTCAATTGCTTCGTTATTTACGAGTTCCAGTCGGTTATGTTTTTATTGCCAACTGACCCGGTTGATGTAAATTTATGCATAAGATCAATTACATACTTATGAGTTGCATGACCTCCTTGGTGTGTTTCGTTGAAAATTCTAGCAGCAGCTCGTGCAGAACTGTTATTTTTGTAGCATAAACCTTCAATTCTTTCTTGTAAACTGTAAACCATTTTCAAATCAAATAAATAACCTCAACAAATCAATGTGCACATGTATCAAAATACACTATAAAAGTAATTTAAGTTCATTTTTCAAATCTCCAATACCTATACCATGTATCATAAAAAACTTCAACAAGTTTTTAGCGGTACGATTAAGGTATAATTTATTCTAAATCCAATTTTGCTGCAGTCAGTAAGGTGAGATGTAAAAATTTGTCACTCAAATAATGGAACCCTGTAGATCATAAACTAATTATTTTAAACCCCATGTTTTATACATTTTTGAAATCAGTTAAACGAGAACAATCCAAAAATGGATAAAAAAATGGGGGAAGCCATTTAAAAAAATTGAAGGGATGATAGTAGGGGTGAAAGGGTGACTTTTTCAGCAAACTTAAATATGGCACGATATCTCCCCCTTCGAATATTAATTGACGTATTTTTTTGTTTTTTGTAATAATCAGTCCTTCAAAAGTTACTTAAGGTGGATACTTTTATCTGAAAAGCACTGTATATAGAACAGGTGTGTTATAGTTAATTTTTTGACTATCTCGAAATCTAATATGTTAAAATTTTAAGTTACGATAAGCAATTGAAAATTTCAAATAAGCAAAGAGAAAATTGTTTGAGAGAGCCCGAGAGAGCTCGAGAGAAACGAGAAATTCTCCTCGAGAGATGTCACTCTCTCGTCTCGAATCTGTTTTCGAGAGAAAATGTCTCTCTCGTCTCGCGGCATCACTATTTATAGTAAAAAAATGTACTCTTTGATGAACCTATAGATTTCAAATTAAGAATAATAAAAAAGAATTTATAATCAGAAACCTATAGTTATGTCAATTTTTACTAATTTCAGGCGCTGCTACTGTTCGGATTGCTATGCCATCGCATATGCAAGCAACCCTAATTTTCCATTACAATTTAAAATTCTATGACAGCGAAGGTGACTCATTTGAAGGAGTTTCCCTGAAGAGATTTGTCATGCAAGTAAGTAGTATAACCAATTTTACAACAGAAAAATGTTTATTTAAACATGGAAATTCCTAAAAGAGTCTACAACCGGTTGCAAGAATGTCTATTACAATTTACAAGTCTGATAAATAGTGATTAAGTAAATAGATTTCAAAGATAAATTTTGTAAATAACACCACAAGATGGTTTTCATGAATCTCATTTTGGAGATAATTTTGTAAAGTATACTACCACATGTTCTTAATCAATCTTTGTATTTCTTATTTGCATCTACACTTATAATATCAAGAATAAATAATATACAATAACATAATATTATTAAATTATTTAAATGTACATTAGAAAAATATTATTATTCGAATTTCGATCCCAGTTCAACGTTTTGAAATGATTTTTAAATAACAATTCAGCATTTTTGTTATTACGATATACATTGAACTTGAAATGAAATTGGAATAGTTTATAGTACCTGCACATGAAAATAAACATTTTAATTAGAATTTATTTCATATACAGGATGTTAATTTATTATGTGAATATAAGAAAAATGTTTAAATCTGAACATTGTGAATAATTTGAATTTAATTTCATTCAGTAGAACAAATCCTCAACCGCTGTCCATATTCATCAGGCTCATAAATGTTATTGAACGTTCTTGTAAACGGCTGTAATTATTGTAATAACAAATGACATTAAGTATTAAAAGTATCCCAAGAGAAAAGAAATAATACTTTACACCATGGTTATGTTTTTAAAATTTCAGAAATCACCGTTGGTATTTTTAATTTTCAGTCTGTTGTTGGAAACATGGTAGCCTTTAGGGTACATGCACCTTGCAGCGGAGCATTTCTTCTGGACATTTTCGCTAATGCCGTAACCCCCAAAGAGTACCTGACAGGCGAACCAATGAAATTCAAAAGCGTATGTAAATTCAAAATATGCTGTGAAGATCTGCAGACAGTTATGGTGCCGTTGCCGGATTGTGCGAGTGGAGAGTGGGGACCTACCAAGGCTACACGGTTATTCGGCCTGGTACCCATTACGCATCAGGTAAACAATAAATAAAGAAGCTGTAAGCGTCAAAAACTGATATTATTTAAAATTAGGTGTTTGGGAATGTTCTCTAATACCGTCAAGTCTTTCTTAAATGGCGCAGTCAGTAGGATCTAAATAAAATACTAATTATTGGAATAAAAATTGATGTAACTACATAAAATAATTAATAACACAAACTTGGCTTATGGGTTTAAAAATTCACTCGTAAGGGGTTGAATATAGTGAAAGTATTATTACACACAGAAACTATAATATATATTTATCATAAATAAGCTTTAATTTGTTTTCTTTTCTTAGGATTCCCTGGTATTCGCCGGCCGAGAACTAGAGATACAATTCCGAATGTCAAGACAACTTACCGATTTCATGGCAACGTTGCACAAGAACGCCGTTGAAGAGAAACGTCTGTCCAAATTCGTTTCGCACAGCGTTTCGGAGGACATAGTAACCTTTAATATAAGTTTCCCGGAAGAAGGGCAATACGGATTGGATATTTATACGAGAGAAATGGCGTCCAGTACGGACATGTTGGGCGAAAAGCATTTACTAACGCACTGTTGTAAATATTTGATAAATTCCTCAAAAAGGAATTGAACTAACTTGTAACTAGTTGTTTAGAAGGCGATTCAGATAGAATTGTTAGTGGACTGTTTCATACTAATTCAACAGACACGTATATATTTTTTTTATATGATAACTTATGACTAATCAAGTTTACCATTATTGTTCCTAATAACACACCTTACATCATTCGCAGATAATTTAAATTATGGTACGTAGCTTTATACTATTTGTCAAACTTTTACTTTCTTTCATTAAGCGATTATACTTCTTGCGATGTTTATTAGTGCGTTATATAGATGAAATTATGAGTTTAATGAAAGTGAGACCTAAAGAACATTATTTACAAAATATGAGTTGAAACCCCCAGAAGATCCAGATCAAATGATATAACGGTTTATTTCGTTGCTAAGTCCTGACCTTTTTCATGAAGAAAAAGTTCTTTATTTCTGAAGCGAATCAAGACAACAAAAAAATTGCATCTGTCAAATACCGTGATGATGCATTTTTATATAGGAGAAACTATGACACAAATAGGCAACACGATCTGAACACTCTAAATATGATGTAGTTGAGCATGGCTGAACGGGACCAGCACATGCGAAGATAAGACAAAAACGCAAGAGAAGATAAACTGGAAGTGAACAAATAATAGAAACTAGCAGATTAACGAAATGAGTATTGAAAACGAACCCAAAACTTAAAAAAAAGGAATACTACAAATGTCAAATTTAGTAGAAAAATAGGTGGAAGGATATGGGAGATATGGTTAGATTGGCTAGATATATGAAAGAAAGTGAGTCTAAGAGTGGAATTACCACAATGGGCGTATTCAGCGTCTTCAAACGGTTTCATTTAAACAATTGTAATGACGGTGAACAGGTTGAAAAGTAATCCCTAACAACTTTCCAAATTTCCTAATAAAAATCTGAAAATCCATCAATAACAATTTTATCTGAATCATTGGATGAAGTAAAGGTGCTCACTACTTTAATTAAAGGCAGTATAGTCAAATTGATTAAAAACCTTGTTGCCTTAACACTTACCTACCTAAAATGGAAATTTAACTTTTCTCATCGAATTTTTAAAAAGTGCAATAATAAATTGACAAATATTTTTATATGATAATTGATAATCGATACCAGTGTTTTGTTTTTTATAGTTTGTTATAATATAATATGCACATGTTATTAAATATTCTATTTTCTGTTAATAAATTCTTAATATATTTACAAAGATATTAAAACTATTAAAAATAAAATCAGATGCTTTTTTACTATAAAGTTTATTTTGTAATTGAAAATGAAATATTCAATAAATTTATTTATTTATACTTGGTCTTTTTATAATCTGTTACCTATACCATCCTTTTCTTATCTTAGATTAGTCTAAAAAGTACATTTCTTTTTGGTTTTATCAATCAACATGAGCTCCTTCCAGCACCTACCGTACCCAGGTACCTTAATAATTTATTAATTCCATTTATTAAATATAATATTGCATTCTTATTAAATTCAAAATCCTTCATTTAACGAAAAATCTTATTTACGGCACCTAATAAATAATATCTATAATCACGTCCGTAAAAGATCAAAATTTCGTACAAGTGTCTGGGAAACCGACCTGAAACCACCATAAAACATATTTCTTTACACGAAGTAATCATCATTAGAACACTTAACTCGCTTATCTTTCTAATTTCGATGTTAAGACCGATTTCGGCAATATTTCGATACATAAAGCTCTCAAGGCACATAATAAATTTACCACCCACTTTGCTTTTCGCCCTAACACGTTTTTCGCTGGGAACTAAGACATACAGAGACGTCACAAAAAGCCATTAAAAGTAGTACAAGAAGTTAGACCCAAATGAGCTCGCATTCATTAATTTTTTATTATTTGATGTGAATTCATTTTATTATTTTACATTCAAGCAATCACTTTATTATTTGTATCAAATTATATAGTATGTACCTTTCCTAAAACGCTCTTCCTAAACGACGTCTATCCTACAATACCTCCTATTCCCGAATGTGTCAACGTCTCGACGCCCAACGTCCTACTTCCCTACGCTATTACTTCTAACACCACTTTAGTATTTCCTACCATTATATTCATCCCGACGCTCAACGTCCAGACGCCCTACTTCCTTAAGTACCGTATTAAATACCACACGGCCTTTAGGTCATACACCCCGAAAGACAGGATAAACATCTGTTTTCGATGGGTGAAATTTTGAGTATTTCAACAGAAATTATAAAAATCAATATTAAGAAATATACAGGGTTGTATAAAGTAATTTCAATAGATATTATAAAAATCAATATTAAGAAATATACAGGGTTGTATTAAATCATTTCAATAGAAATTATAAAAATCAATATTTTAGAAATATTCCGGATGTGCTATCTTGGATAAGTTGTACCGGGTGTTCTATTGAGAGAGGTAGAAATTTGATTTGTAATAATTGTTTATACAGTTTTCATTCAAATAAGTGGAATATTTCAGAAACTAATAATAGTACAGCTTTGGGGAAAAAATATTTTTAATAAAATCGGTCAAGAGAAATTGCTGGAAATTATTTTCAAGTTTGTAGGGTGGCCGCTAGGGGGCGTAATTGTGACGTCAAAACATAAAAATGTAATTTTCTCCAAAAAATACCAAGTAAAGTATATTAATAAATATTACTATTTTAATCTTCAATATTTTCTGAACAAAAAAGCTTTAGGTGTAATTTTTGTCAGTTATGAAATAGAGTGGTGGGGGAACGTTAAACTTTAATTTGGAAAAATGCTCATAACTCCGGTTTGGCTTTACCGAATTTAGTGAACTTGGTTTCGTTCAGAAGACCTTTTTTAGCCTCATTTTTAGCTTTACAAACTGTGGCTGCTTACGTTTTATGAACGCCGCTAGAGGGCATTAAGTTAAAAACTGACAAATTTTACGAATTTTTTTGAAAAATTTAAATAAACGATATATACCTTTTTGCACAGTTAGATAGAGAAAAAAAAGCCCAATACTTTAGCGAAAACCGCATTTGGATATCTCTTTTCAAACCGCAGATTTTAGCAAAAATGTAACAGAAATGTAACACATTTAATGACCCAGCATTTTTTACTAGGTCCATTTTTTAAGGTATAAATCAAATTTATAAATGTCTGCAAAACCTAATGCCCAACCATGATTTTTACATATTGTAAATAATCGAACGATATTAGCTAAGAATGCATAATTGCTTATAAGTATAATAATCCATTGAGCGTGTAGGTATATTTGCATATCAAGTAAGCTTGAAAAACAAAAAAATCTTGCAATGTCAAAAATTAACAATTTTCACGTCAGAACATTATTTTGTCGTATTCGCTGTGTTACTGTATTGTGTTTTTAAAAATGCCTTTGTTGCTTGAAGAGGTGGTTGATATTATTACTATTTATTTTGAGTGCCTAAAAAATGCGACTATAGCTGCAAGGCTGTACGCGTCGAGATATATCTCAAAGACGCCGGTACAGCAGCAGAATGTTTACTTGTTTAGCAAATCGCTTTCGAACCACGGGAAGTGTCCTTTGCCCCTTACACCGCATTATTATGATATCCTAATAGTGCTAAGTAATCTTTGTCTTAGGTTACATCCATATCATATTATGCTGCACCAAGCTTTGACCGTCGCAGACTACGACAGGAGGTTAGACGTCATGTGTGGATAAATAAGGACAAAGCAACATTTCATAGTGACAGTGGATTCAATATGCACAATATGCATTATTGGTCAGCCAGTGACCCCCGTTGGATGCAGAAGGTGCAGCACCAAGGAAGGTGGAGCGTGAATGTTTGGTGCGGCATTTTAGGCACTGAAATCATAGGTCCTTTTATTTGGGATGAGCCGCTTAGAGGGCAAATATATTTAAATTTTTTGGACAGTCACTTACCACTTCTTTTAGAAAATGTGCCGTTGGAAACCAGAAGAACAATGTTTTTCCAACATGATGGCTGTCCAGCCCATTTCGCAGCAAACGTCCGTAGATTTCTTGATCACGCATTTCCTGATAGGTGGATTGGAAGAGGTAGCCTATTTCAGTGGCCTCCGAGGTACCTATTGTTTATATCTATAGTAAAAGACTAGTGGTAAAGTTTTTAATGATCGTATCAATACTATTTTCAATTCTTATTAGGCAAAATTGTCCCCTCGTTTTTGTTGCAGATCACCGGATTTAACCTATCTCGATTTCTACCTTTGGGGAAGATTGAAAGACCTTGTTTTTTGTAGGTACGAGGCCTACGACAAGGGAAAATATGATTCAACGAATCACAGACGGTATTCGTAGCATATCTAGAGCGGAAGTGAAAAGAGCTGTTTTGTCAACCAGGAAAAGGTTGGAACTATATGTGTTCAAAATGATGGAAGGCAGTTTGAACATTTGGGACGGCATTGAGTATTAGGTCTTTTGTTTGTGTTTTTCAAAGCTTACTTGATATGCAAATAAACACGCTCAATGGATTATTATACTTATAAGTAATTATGCATTTTTATCTAATATCGTTGGATTATTTAAAATATGTAAAAATCATGGTTGGGCATTAATAAATTTGATTTATACCTTAAAAAATTGACCTTGTAGAAAATGCTGGGTCATTAAATGTGTTATGTTTTGTAAGGGGTTTTCTCGCCACAGAGAAAACGATTCCTTACGAATGACGCTGGTTACGGGGGGTTCTCGAGCGCCAGATTTTTGGTGATGGTTTACTCCACGAACTTTCGAAACGGCGTCGAAAGTACTCGGGTAGCTACAGATGGAGATGAAAAATTCCAGGCGTCAAGGTCACTTGGACACAGGTAATAGTGTGCCACAAGTAACGGGCTTTAATCGTTACTTGGGCTGGTACAGAATTAATCACTAGCTGAAATATAAGGGTAAAATAAATTTAGGAATTAACAACCAGTAATACGGCAGGTTAACATTGACACATATATTGTGGTTAACTATTTACAATAAAAAAAAAGAAAGAAATTAAATATTTCAACGCCCACCCTCAC